TTATTTTTTTTTTTATAAAAAGAAAAAAATAAATTGTCGATTTTAACGTGTTATTTAGATTACAAAATAAATCGTAATAAAAATAATCCTATTTGTGATGTTTTAAAAATTAAGACCTAGGAAAGACTGATTTAAGACATTTTAATACCAATTAAGGCCTTAGTTTTATTTTGAAGAATTCAATGCCTTTTAAGACTTTTTAAAGAAATATAGCCGAGGTAAGTTGACATTAAAAGTACATAATTAAGACCTTACGATCTGTTTAATTTTCTAATGCATTTGTGCACATGTCGTGCAGATTTGTCATCACACTGGATTGCATCCAGGAATTCAAAAGACATCTCTGCGTTGTGATTGGCCCGCCAGTTCTAGGGCCTGGGGGCATTGATCGAGGCGAGACCACTCACAGGCAAAGATCATTTTGGCCGCTGGTGGGTGGGGCTAATTTACTAGGCTAAAAAAAACAATGCTTGTGTTTCTAAATAGTAGTTATAATCTTAGTAAAACATCATTAATAGTAACTATATTGAAAATAGCTGTGTTGTTTCCTAGAGGCCTAGCGTCGCTAATTAGCTTCATACCAATTATATCCGCCATGTTAAAATGATCAGATTCTATTAAACCAAACACATGATTTACAGAGAAAACACAAACTATACGTTTGTTTATACAGCTGGTTATCAATTCAGAGATTACAGGTTTTCAGATTATTTTAAACATGATGGATTCAAGGATTGGAGATTTTCTGACAAAAGAAAAAACAAAAAGTTTTTAATTTTAGAGCTAACTATCCTGTTATTTGAACCCGTCAGCTCCGTCTCTTTGCTTCCCAGCTGCTCCTCTCTACAGCTTCAATGTTTCCTCTCAGAGGAGCTTCAGCGTTCACTTGGATTAACAAACACCAGAGTTCTGCTTCATTAACCCCCCCAGCAGGTTTCATCTCTCGGTCTCAGACTTACTAGCGGCTCCAGCGTGCTGAGGTCTTTGAACTTGTTGCCGCTCAGGTTGAGGTGCGTTAGATTTACCAGCCGCTCTGCCAGAACTTCCAGACCCCCCGATATCCTGTTATCACTCAACTCCAACTGCAGGGAGAGAGGGGGAGAAGTCTGAGGGTCAAACACACGCTGTAAGGTTGTAAAACTAAAAAGATTTGTTTTACTTAGTTTCTAAGATGTTCTGCAGCAGCTTTTTATATTCAAGAACATAAAGAATGAGATCATCCACAACATCAAACCATAAAGCAAAGATTCCCAGCAGATTTAACACAGAAACCTCCGATCAGTCCACGTTCCTTAACTGTAATAATTAGTTAAGGAATGAACCCAGACTGCTGGAATCAGGCTCCCTCCCACCTTCTTCAGCTTGTCCAGTTTGGGGATGTCTGCTACGCTGGTCAGGCCGACGTTGATGAGGCTGAGCAGCTCCAGGTTGGAGAACTCCTCTGTGATTCCTTCGATCTTTCCGTCACTGGAGCGGCAGTTATCCAGAACCAGCTCCTGGACCTGAGCAAAAACCATCAGTATGAGGTGATTTCCTCCAACGATGAGTCGCACAAACCCACCCCCCGATCTTTTATGCTACAGTTTAGAGATGACTAAGAGCTACGACTCAACTCTGTCTATAAATCATTACTTTGTGTTGTTATGACTAAGTTATTTATGATGCACTCAGAACCAGATATTGACTAAACTGGGATTTCCAAAGGCTGATACTCATCGGGTTTTTTATTTTTTTTTTAAAGCTGTAATTTTTTTTCTCTCTCCTCCATTTACCTGATTAAAATCATACAATAACAAATGTTACTTGAGCCTCAATTTTAGCATCAAAAACATTATGGATTTAACTAAACATTAACAATGGAGGAGCAGCAAAGCATCACTTGATCTCGGGGCATTGTTATTGAAAGCACCGATGCACAAATTAACATTTTAGTTGATTAAAAAAGAAAACAGCTGATAAACCAAACTTTACATTTAAATATGTGCTTTAACTTTTAGGGACCTCACTGTAGTTCAATATAAAATCCCTTTAAAGAACAAACTAAACTATCAAAATAAATATTATGTAAATGTCCTAAAGGCATGATTATTGATATCCATAACCTTGGTTCTAACTGCTTTGATCAATTTAGGCCTTAGGTCCACAAACTTGATGCTTTGTAGCTTTGTTCTGTGGCCGATTACTGTATGGATCCACAGTACTGCAGTCATTGACAATCAGAAAATTAAGAGGGAAGACAGACTTGCTTAGAGCCGCCACCAGAGGGCGATATTGAAGACTTTAAGGTTTTGGTTGCAGCATCTTCCAACAATTCAGTACTACAAACAAGAAATAAAAATCTGATACAATTATGTTTAAACAGGTGCAAACTTAGAATATGGATTATTATTAATAATA